AGGAGGTATCTCTTGAAGTCAGTCACTAGTAAGCATAATAAATTAGAAAAAATGTCATGTCTATCATAAGTGGTTTAAAATGAATTAAATTTAAATACTTTGATAGTTTACTTTTAAAACATGAATATATATAAATCTATTATAGTCTAAATATAAAAAGGTTCATAAGTAATAATTATTTTATGTTTTTGGGTTATGCATCCTATAAATCATTTTCTTATGTATACACTATTAACTTGATTTTGGTGTATGATGAGTTATTTTTCATATAAATCCAATGTGAATGGATATGCAAAACAAAATATAATTAATTATCATAATTCTAAATGTAATTCTCAATGACAACTAACAATAGTTAGAGAAATAATTAGGTTCAGGAGACATGGGACAATTATTTTTCTTAGTTTCGGTTAGCTATTGGTTAGAAAAGATAATTTGGCTAGGATTTTACAAAGTTTCCTGAGCTACAAAATCAAAAAGATACACAAGATACTGAGTAATCCCTTTTGTTAGATTTAAATAATTCAAGGAAGGAATAAAGTGATATATTAGCACGATAAATTCCAAGTAACTTTGTCAAACCTCAGCTTGAATCACCCCAGCGAAAGACTTTTCAACAGTGTACATGCTTACAGGCTTTCAGTGGTTGTCTAACTACTGTTATTTCGTGGTGTGAACCATACGATTCAGCAACCTCTACAAGTGTCTTTCATTAATATTTGTATGAAAAGGAAAAGATTAAACTACACAAATGAGGACATGGAAAGAAGAAAATGTAATGCGGATAAACGACGTGAATTACATGGATTTGAACTTAAAATTAAGTCAGGCTTTAGTTTAAACGAAAATGTTCTATTTTACGGTCGAATTCCTTAAAATTTATTGCAATATTGTATCACATGGTTCCGATGATCCTTCTATTCAACCGACTGGAAAAATACACATACAATTAGCAAAGCTCATGTTTATTTTATTTGCTTTTCTGTTTTGTTCGAATTCGTATCATCATAAATGATTTTTGATTCAGTTAGCTAGTTTAAATGTTCTTGTTACAGTACAGATTTTAGTATATTGGGCTTATACTACTGAAATATTATAAGTAGCTCAGGGCTCTTTCATTCGATATTAGAGAAAATCCTCAGTGTATTGTAATTTAACCAAGTGTACTCTCTTGTAGAACGTATATGCATTTTAGACAAACAGTATTGAAACATTATGTAAGGTCTTTGTGAATTAATATTAAATTTGCAGGACAGAAAATATTACATAGATTACTGTGTAGTTAAACTGCATCATATTTTGATTATTTTATCACATTTATAGTAATCTTTTAACAGAAAACCAAAACATAATTATCATAAAATAGGGGAACAAAAATTACTTCACTATCAAGTATTTTGTATACATATATGTTTATTTATGCAAAGGTAGCTCATTTGCATTTCCGCTTAATTTATGCGTTGATAAATGTTTTCTAGTATGTCGATTTGATGATTAAACTTATGTAACGTTCAATAGTAATACTAATAATGAACTTGTCGGTTTTTCAAGTAACGATTTTAGTTCAACTTACAGTCTGGTGGTCAGAAGTCTTAGATTCTTAAATTCAGAATACATAAAATTCTACAAGATAACTTTTATAAAGAATTAATAACGGCATTAAGAACCACTCAAAACTGGGAAACACGCAACAGCTGCGTAAGCTAACAAAATGATTTTCACTCTCTAGGCTTAAAGAAAAACAAAAGCGGTTAGCATTATAACTTTGAACAATTTACAAAGTAGTGTAGCTAACGTCACTTTAGCAACTGTCTTATTTTATCACTTGTCGACCTCTAAAATTCACAGAGTTCCTACTAGAACTTTCAGGAAATCATCTAGATAAAGCAAGTGGATACGTGCTAGCTTACTATTATAGATGTAATCACTTTTTCTTTTTACCCTTATCGTTTCAGGCTGTTGCATCAAAATTTTAGAAAGATATAACTAGTTCAATAGCGTTCATATACATTAGTCCTTTAGAGCTTCCCATTAACGTTTAGGACTGTAATTGATCGGTATCTTTCGGCATATGTACCTGCAGGTATATCCAGCTGACGAGTCCCAAACAGGGCCGATGACGCGTCCTGGATTTCACTGCCAGCCACCATCCATCTCAGCTTGAACTTTTAACTAACAGTTATAGTTGAAGATAAACACCAGGTACTCCTTGTTAAAAAGAAAACTTTTTTTAGAAGATTCTCGCTTTATATTTATAATGGTTATTAACTTTGTTGCAACATGACATGCATTTCGAGCTTATAATTCTTTGCAATAATAAAATTTAATGATTGGTAAGGTAAGGTAAGGAGAAAGCTGGTCGGCGGTCTATGCTCCATTGGGAGTAACAGGCGTAAGTAAGTAAGTAAGTAAGGTGATAATTATGGATGTATTAACCTTGAATAGTCACATGCTTTTAAAATGTCAACTAGAATTTTACTGATAAAGATCACTTTTATTGACACTTCAATTGTTTTATATATCAACTATCAATTACTGTAATCATGTAAAACAATGATATCCCACTAAAATTCCGGTTTCATGGTGAAGTCGCCTTGAATCATCTGAAATTGTAGTGAAAAGTAGACAGAATAAAGAACTGTCTCTTAAAGAAAATGTTTTGATAGGTTTTACGCCTATCGATCTACATTTTTAGTGATCATGTATAAGACAGTGGGTCAGATTTGCAACGACAAGTAGAAAAATTCTCTTTTTCAAAGACGTTGTGTATGAAAACACCTCTTGATGTCTGCCTGTATGAATGTATGTGTATTACTGACGCAATGCTAGTCTATTTTCTGGTTTCCTTCTAGATTTAGACTACGTTATGCCAAGACAACTAGTTTATTAGTAGGCGACATATTTGAGTAAGCCATTTCGAACAAAGTTTACTAGTTTATTCATTAGGTTGTGGAAATTTACCGAAAAGAAATGATTATTTCAAACTACTATCATATATATGTGATAATTTTTATTGTAGCTCGAGCAATCTATATATATTAACTGGTTAAAGGTAGTGAACAGCAAGCCTTGAATTAGGTTCCTTTCTGGTTTGTTAACACGAGAAATTTACAGTTTTGTAGGGAATTAAGGATTCGCGTATAGTTTAAACTATCTGCTATTAATGTAACTACGACATGAGTTGCTCAGTTTCATGGATTATGCTCAAAGGAAGATAAAAATAAATTAGATAAGGAGAGGTAGTTTTCTATATTCAAAGTAGAAGTAACTTATATGGGATTATCTTCTTGTACTACAAGGAAGAACATCGATATTCCTTTCATTTCATCTCTAAAGCTTTCATAAATGTTTGTTCCTTGGTGAAACTCTATCTTAATATATTATCTACTACCTATCAGATGATATGATTTCAAGAATATATTGACAGTAATTTCGATTGCAAACTAATATAACTTGAAAAATCACTGAAAACCGTTGATCATTGATTGGTTATGACTGTTTTAGTTTGAGAATCATTAACAACGCGCAATTACAATTCTACTTGTGATGAAAATTTTAATTTATTCATTGATTCGTTGAAATTTTTTTGGATTCAAAACAGAATGTATCTGAAATGTCAAGACAATTTTCCGTACACTATTATACAAACAACAAAAAGAATGGTGACATAAACATGAAAAGAATTAATCGATGAATGAATAGTGTGTGTTTCACAGCAGATTCTTATTACTTATATCTTTTTTCATCTTTTCCCGCAGTGTCTCTTAAAAAGAATATTGAAAAACTGGTAGAACAAGGAAAACGATGTATACAAACAAATGATAATATAAACAAATTGTCTATCGTGTATGTAGATAATAACGCCTTTTAAATAGAAAAAGAATTAATTCATGATATTCAGACATAGACTAGAAGATCAGAGAAAAAAATTAATACCAAAGATAACTAGAAAGAAAGAAGGAATAGGGAAATGTTTTTTTTGGGGGGGGAAGGGGTATACTAATGATTGAATTGCAATATTTTTAACATTGTTCTATGTGCAATTGTTTGTAAATGATTTTGACTGATTAAAAACTTTGTGAATCAGTCATTTACATTTGTATGTGTGAATAAGAATGAACAAATGTGTGTATAAGCGCTTAAAACTTACGAAAACTATAACAACATAAAATTGATATTTTTACACTCGATTATTGAAGTGTTTTTTTTACTGCATTTGAATTATTTAACCAACAAAGTATTGATGACATAACAAACATAGGAAATGCAATACAAATTAACCATTTTGTTTTAATATGTCGGAAGAAAATAGAATTTTTGAATGAATCAAAGACATGCATAAAAACTTATTTATCGTTTTTCAATTTAAATGGTTATTTTTGCATTTATTGACGACCAACTGATTGTGTGAAATTCAGTGTAGTACAGTTGATTGAACGCCATAAAACTATTTATTATACCGTTTTTTTCATTTGTTCATAAAGTAAACATATACAGTAGAAAACTTTGGCTATAAAATATGAGGTATCTTGTCAACAATCTAATTGGTAGCTGTTTGTAGTGGTTAGATTTCCGGAAACCAGGTCATACCATCGATCTATTATTCATAATTTAAGACAGTTTTGAACTAATATAGGGTATAAGTGGAGATAATAGCATTTTCACAGTTGAATTCATGGGGTAACTTTAGCTAGACCACTACTAAATACTTGAAAGCAGTGGACGGTGGTTCCATTTTAGTATAGGATAGTCTCATAAGTGAATACTTAGTTTCTAGACTACGGCAATAAATTTGCAATATTTCACGACCACCTTCCATTGCCTGAAGTAAATATCTCTTTCATACCAATCACGATTAAATCTCAGTTATTTCTTATCACTAGAACTCATTTGATTATCTCTAGAAATTAGTTACTAGTGAACATATTTTTATTCAAAGTTTACATGTATATATGCAATGATATGTAAAAGTAATGTAAAGGTATAGAAAAATATTTTACCTTTCCGAACATTATGTACTGATACTGGTTTATTTCCACAAACTCGAAATCCATAACCATATTCATCTCGTTGAACAATTGTTCGAAATTCCAATGCTACACTTTGATTATTCATTGTTGAATTCGTTAGTTTTTCTTTCAAATTTTTGTTTTGTTTTAACTTATCAATCTTATCACCGATAATTTTATTATTTTGATTATCAGTATTGTAGTTTTTTATTTTATTAACCTTATGAATATTTGGTTCAAAATCTTCACATGGTGATGATTCTGCAGTACTATAGCGACTAGTTGAACTGTTTTCATCATCGTCATCACCATTATTGTTGTTATTATAACTGTTAACGTTATCATCATTATTACTATTATTATTACAAGAAGGAACTGAATCGATTATATTTTCATTGACTTGCATCATTTTACTGTCATTCTGAAATTCATCGATTTGTCTTTTAATTATCTCATTCAATTCAATATTTTGACTATTCATATCATTATCATGATTAATTTCTGTAGTTGGCAATAGATTTTCTGTAATCATTGAATTCTGTTCTATTGGAGATTCATGATTATTTGATATTTGTGTAGAACTGAGTTTTTAAATAAAAAATTAAGAAAGAAAACGAGAAAAAATAAATTGTTATATAAAGAAATAATAGAAAGCAAACGTACAAGCAATCACGAATCAATATTATCTGTATTACTAATGTTTTGTTATCTCATTATATGGCATCTTTAGAATATACTTGAACAAATCTAACTAATATAATATTGGCAAGCCCTCACATGGAATCCTGAGGGCCAAAGGAGAAGTGGGAGACAAAGAATATATTACGTTGAGAAATGGAGACAGACATGAGAAGAATGAACAAAAACTGGATAGAACTAGAAAAGAAGGCCCAGGACAGAGTGGGTTGGAGAATGCTGGTCGGCGGCCTATACTCCATTGGGAGTAACAGGCGTAAGTAAGTAAGTAAGTAGTGTAATATTGAAAAAGATTACTAAAATAAATTTTTATTCATATTAGTTCACCAGTCTTCTATAGATCGTACTAACCATTTTGTAAAAATGACTGGATTACCCATATTTCATTGGAGATTTAAATTTCCTATTCACAAATGGTAAATGGACAAAAATTTTAATTTCTGAAGTTTGTAAATATTTAATGATCGAAAATATCAATTCAGTTTGGTATTGTGGAGATTATCATATTTTTGATTGAGATCATGAACCGATTGAAATTAAACGACCATTGAAAACCTGGAAGCACTGGACGGCCATTTCGTCCTATAGTGGGACTCCTCAGAAGTGTTAATTCACAATCCCGTTCGCATTCGCATGTGACACCGAAAGCCCTGAGTTCGAGTCCCGCGAAAAAGACCGTAGACGCACACTGCTGAAGAGTCCCACAATAGAACGAATCGGACATCTCGTGCTTTTAGGTTTTCAATGGCGGTCTAACATTAATTGGTTCATGATCTCAATCAAAATGTCAATTCATTTTATCAGAACAGACTTCATGCAGATTTTATTGAAGTTTATTTTTTTCTAATTTTTTTAAGACAAAAATATGTTGTTCTACTAAGAAAAGATACACTTTCAATAAGCAAATTATTTATATTCTAATATACATACATTTGTAGATTTTACATCAATAATTGGTTTCTAAGATTCATTGTCACCCTGATGAATCACATAAATTCATGTAGTCGATTGCATAATCAGCACTTATCTACTATAACACTGTCATAATTCATCTTTCATTTAATATAAACACTAGTAACTCGTTTATTAATTTATTTATAAAAAAAATTATACAGATGTTTCCAAATATTACTTTAAATTAATATTAAAAAAGACTTATTCAACGAAAAGATGGATGTTTTATGTAGCTTAACCAATACTTTTTATAGAAAATGTTTTGTTTAAATGTCTTGATTGAACAATAAACAAACAATAACATTTGAATCCTTGAAAGATGGACACCTTTTCATCCTGAGTGACGAAATACTGAATGTAAACAGTAAGCATTTAATAAAGTAATAGAGTGTGTAACTTCTTTTTATTGTGAGTATGGAAGTCATTCAATATTTTACTAAATTATTTTTATTTGACAAACATGTATTATTTTAAATTGTTTCATTTAAGAGCCAAGTGTATTGTTAAACATTAAAACTGTAAGCTCAGTAGTATCCATTTTGCAAACTGATGGTTTTGGTTTAAAGAGTTTGTTTTGGTAAAAGATACAACAGTTTAACTTAGACATTAAATATTATTTAATTACATATAAACTATGTATAAATGTGACCACTACTAGAATTTACTTTGATTTTATATATCATTAATAATTTTAAATGATTGATAACATTCTGGATAGTTTCAGACAGCTGGTTTATTAGTAAAACTAATCGTGCTACATCATTAGTGAATCCTACTCCAAAACGCAAAAACATTCAGTAGATGTTAAAATCATTTCGTTACATGTTATGGCATTTAGTGGAACGGAGAGTTTCATATGTTATACTATTTAATCTAACTTGCGAAATCTATTGAAAGATGTAAGTAGTTTAACTACTTATATTGCATAGTAGTGAAACTAATTTCAATACATTTTCTTTTAAATATCATTTTATAAATCATTCGAAAGAGCTATATCAAGTGATGAAGTATACACCATATAACTTATCTCTTAGCTTTCGAGTAGCTATTTGAGTTTAATAGCAATTCTCACTGTTGTTTTTCACGTATCTGTGGTTTAGATAAGCCAAATAAATTCAAAATAAGTGTAAATGTGACACTGTTTGATATTTTCTTTAAAAGTATTTACGCTGAATATGTTAACAATAACCAATAACTGAGTAAAGTAAGAGAAAAAAAACATTGAGTAACGAAGTAAATTCATTTCACTTGGTATATTTAAGCCTTTTTCACGGATCCATAAATGAGATCTAGCTTTTCTACATTCAAGTTATTTAGGTGCTAAATAGGTGAAACCGAGTTCATAATACAGTCAACATTAGAAAAACCATACAAACAACTTAATAAAAGGGGCGATATTTAAATATATCATGAGCAACACAAGTTCAGAGGATTTTAAATTCGACTCTATGTACTGTTAAGAATTTTGAATTTAAAAAGAAATAACTGGTCAATGTTCTCTTAAGCTTTTAATAATTCTCGTGCAAATAGCATCCAATAACAAAAACAATTCTAAAATCTAATTTACTCATTAATTACAATAAAGGAGTGCCAATAATGGCACTAAAATGAATATTCATACGATTGAAGGTTTAATTTGATTCTTAAAGCTAGAAATACATTTACAATATTTGCAATATTTGTCCAAGTAGTTGGATTTTATATCACAGACTGAGCTTGAATAAAGTTAGAAATGTGAAATATGGGATGTCGACTTATTAGTATAAAATCTAAGTTTTCGTCAAGAGGTTTGAAGTTCCTGAGTTTGATTCCCAATCGTATAGGTATTTTACGTCTCTAAAACATCTCATACAAAGACGAAGCAACATTAAAAGTGCTTTCTATTTTCCAATGGTCGCGTAAATAACGTTATTTTTTTAAATGTAAATTTCAACTACACTTCTATAAGTAAATCATTCAATTTTTTTTCTCCAAGATACTTCAATCCAGATGTTGAATTTTTTTATGGACAGATGGAGAGTAAACATTGAAAACAGAAAAAAATATATAAATTGTTAAATATTTGTCACTTGTTAAATAACAGTTTACATATTCATAGAAATACTAAAGCTAAATTTCATTGAATGATCAATCATTCTCCATAATTTATAGTTGTTTAACCGAGAAGATCAAATTGATGATACTGATTCAAAGGAACACTTTTCATTAAGTTATCATAATTTCATTTAGATATTTTATAATTATAAATGGTAATGAATGTTTTACTATTTTGTATACTCTTCATAAAAAAATAAATCAATCTTGTTATCAATGACATTAATATTGATAAATGGAGTTACAATGAAAATCAAAGTAAATTTTGTTTAGTTTTGTAAATTTTTCTTAGCTAATTTACGAGGAGTCCCACAATAGAACGAAACGGCCGTCCAGTGCTTCCAGGTTTGACATGGTGGTCTAGCTTTAATTGACTCATGATTTCAACTATATATATAAATAATTTACTAAATGTTAAATTTTTTTCCCCTTAGATACAGATTAATATTTTACAAAGAAATATTTATATATATATAAGTTGTAGTGTCGGTTGATATGTCAAGCTCATATACCTTATTTTAGCTTCTGGACAAGCCAATTTACCTATCTATCTTGAGTCATATTTTGATCTTGTTAATTATTCACTTATTAACCCTGACTAATTTTTATATGGGCGTATATGTGTACACTTTTTATCTTATAAATCACATGTCTGTCATTTATTCTTGTCTGACCATAAATATTGATTAACTCTTGATTAAAGCGAGTTGTCTTACCCTCCATCTCTAATGCGTGTCATTTTTGCTCCGCTTGCTGATATTTGTTCATGTGCTTATGACTTTCTGACATGCGTCATTCGCCAATAAAACTATAGCTGCCGCTTCTCTTTGCCTTCTGATTTTATGCACCGTTAAGATTTGTATTACAAGGGTTATCGAGGTGAACGACTAGCGAAGCATGGCACTACAAAGTGACTAAATTTTAATTGCTAAATAAATGATAGACATATTATGAAAATCAAATATATCCGAATATTTGGTTTTTTGGAATTTTTCAATCATCAAAAAGCTGAGTTTGGGCATATTCATTTTAAGTGGTTTAAATTTATGACTAGAAAAATCATTAGCTAACGAAACAGAAATAAGTTGGTAGATATTATTATTATCAAGGTTTGACATAATCATTTCGACTAAATTTAGCATTGGGTAGATTGTTTATTTAAACTCGGATTAATTTTAATTTTAGATCAGAGGGGGTTTTGTGGAGAATTTAGTATTTTTATAGTTGAAATCATGAGTCAATTGAAGCTAGACTACCATGGAAAACCTGGAAGCACTGGAAGGCCGTTTCGTCCTGTTATGGGACTCCTCAGCAATGCGCGTCCACCATCCCGCTGACGCGAGATTGGAACCCAATTGACTCATGATTTCAACTATGAAAAATAAAAATTTTGATTTGATTATTAATTCACTGAAGAAGTTGTTTACACTGAGCTACGAAACGTCAGAAAATTTTTATACATTTTTTTTCATTTCAAGAAAATAAAAATCACTTGTGAATAAGTACTCACTAGCAGTCATATTCATTGCTAATTACAACACAATTATGTGACAATCACTGATAATATCTAATGTTGTATACTATTGTTGCAGGGATCGTAGCAAAATTATAAATAAAAGATTCTAAACTGATTCATAACGATCATATGAAATAGCTAATAAGAATGATACTGAGTTAGTATTATTTTTATCTTTTTGACTGTTCATCAGATATTTCATTGTGTTTGCAATTCTACTACTGAAAACATATATATATATATATATATATATATATATATATCGTGTTAACAGCAGTCTACCTAATTCCGTCAGACTGAGAATCTGGCTGAGGCAATTGC